TGTGGAGAAGGCTACGTCTCACCCAGACCTACCCAAGGGAATGGGGATCCGCATTTCACCACCTTCGATTTACTGGGGTATACTTTCAATGGATATGGCGAATACTGGCTCCTGAGGAGCGAGATATGCTCCGCCCAAGTCAGAATGATTCCGATGCAGCGAGGAATAAACGGCACGATCATTTCGGCAATCGCCTTCAGGTGCACAAATGACGCAACCTTTCAAATCCAGCCGTCCCTGGATGGAAATGATATGGAGCTGTTGATAAACGGCTCTCTGTTTGAATTTGATAAGCACCTGTCCGAAGTCTACATTGGGTCTGCAGTCGTATCGAGCGAATTCCAGGAAAGCAAAATTCGAATCTCCCTCCTCGATCTGTCTTTCACCATCAGCAGCGTGGAGGGAGCCCTCTCCCTGTTCGGAATCGTGGGCGACTCCTATGCGGGGAAGTGTCGAGGGTTGCTGGGGAACGCGGACAACGATCCGAGCAATGACTTGCAGACGCCAGACGGAACCATTCTCCCGGCGAATTCCAATCTCAACACGACGCACCACGAGTTCGGCGAGAAGTGGAGGGTACAGGAATATGACACTTTTTTTTCGTACGAGAAATGGGAAAGTTATGAGACTTTCTATCATCCCGAATTTCAACCTAACGTAGAAGAACCGGACCCAGACTCCTTTCCGGATGACATTCAGGACATTTGCGGGGAAAGTCTGGCCTGCTACTTCGACTACGACGCAACAGGCAGTCTGGAATTCGCAAACCGCACCAAAGAGAACGAGGCTGCCTTCAACGACACGGTCCACACGTTGGACGAGGAGGTCGTCAGCTGTCCATCGCTGCCGGAACTCAAAAACGGTTTCCAGGAGTTTACCAATTATCTGCTCGGCTCTACTGTCAGGCATTTTTGCAATGAAGGGTTCAAATTGGCTGGAAGTGAAAATGTGACGTGTGAAGGGACTGGTACGTGGTCTGCAGACATGCCAAAATGCGAATCGACTCCTCTGCCTTCCGAAGCCCAGATCATTTCATATCAAGTCTTTCTCATCATTGGTTGCTTTTTTTCGATCTCGAGAGCTGCTTAAAACGGGATTTGATATATAGAGAAACGACCACATTTGAATTAACTATCCACTCTGAACTGAATGAAAGCAATTGTGAAGCCAGATATCAAAGTGTATATTCAAAATTCACACTTTGAATGTTCATAACCCTCTTTGATGTATTTGACACTAAGTCGTTTTATTCCATATTCGATTTCCGTTCGCCGTAAGCATGCTGTGACACTTTGCCACTTATTTTATATAATACTTTGGTAAACGGCAACAAAATTTTCAACGCTCTGCTTCTCTCAGCTGTCGATTTTTGTTTTACTTGCAATAAACAATGTTAATAACGACTTCATGGACAATATTTCAATTAAAACAGAGTTCAATTATCGATCTGGGAAATTCATACCGTCGGGCTCTTACCTGATATATGGCACCAATCACGAAAAGTCTGGGAAGTTACAAATATATATTTGAACTTGTTGGAGTCAATGTTACCGACGAAAGCTCCTTCATCTGTTCCTCAAAGTCTCCAACTTACAATTTAACACTAATCGAATTTCAGACAAATACCTATGCCAATGATTCCGAAGCGACAAGATGTTGGGTCACCGTTTCTGAAAACCAGGAGCTGGTTGGCTTGTTATGAGGTCAAATATGTTTGAAATACCTAATATGTCTCTTGCTCCTGATTCGTCATAAATTCTTAGCTAACCTGCTAGGATTTGAGCATCGCCGGATAGGCTTGTTTGTGATGCCGCAGCCAATACCCAATCTAATGGGATTAGGTATTGACTTGCATTAAAAATAAGTGGTATGGTATCAAGTCACGAATGAATATAATATGCCGAAAGTTTCAAACATGCTAAGTCATGAGTCGTGTCAACGTCTCCGCTAAATGATGGTTTTTGCACGCCATGAAAACCATAAAAAAAACAACCGTAATCGAAAGAGAATTTTATTCATGTTCATGTTGACACTTCGAGGCAAAGGCTTGAAGATCCAATCCGTGTGCCCAAGAAACAGGAAAGGGAAAATAGATGCAACGCTGCCGAATCCGACTCGTACTGAGGCGACGTGATGCCCGTGAATACTCGGGGATATCGTTTGTTGAAATAGGGTCAGCCAGCTTCACGGTGAACAGTAGAGAAGACAACACGGGGTAATCCAGCCCAACTAAAAAAACATTGGAAGTTACGGTAGCTACGTACATCACCTCGGTTTGTTCTAAGCGGAGAGTTTGGCCGTATGGGTACCTGGATACGAATGTAATTTCGATATCGGACAGCACCAGAGTTATTGGGGCAAACGTGGTATGCAAATGTATCCCGGAAAATTCCCTCTAACATAATTTTTTTTTATCCTGCAATACTCCATTTTGAAACACTTAACGCTTGCTTCGTGAACCTTATTTTGGACGATTTTGTTCATTAGTTGACGCTAAGAAACTCTCTTGGCCACTTCATTTTTGATCAATAACAAGTGCAATTTTGCAAGAGAATGTTGACTGTCTTCTTTCTTGAAAATATGGAAACTGCAGGTGAAGCCGCATCAGACAGTATGGGGAGGAAGCCACCCAAGCAGCATGTTTACGTTAACAAGATATCAATTCTTTGCAAACAATGTAAATTTCTTGCGATTGCCATGAAAATGACATCACGTTTACGTAAAATTTACATTCCTATATTTACGTCACCAAAGTGTACGTGTATTTTACATAAACTAGACGTCACTCCATTTGACGTGAAGTACATGATATCAAGTTTATGCAAAATTAACGCCACACCATCCATATGAAACTTTAGCTGACCATTTCGCAGCTGCAGTACCGAGATTCCTCACTAGATGGAACCCTTGTTCCCTGCATCCGACAAATACTATTAAGTACCGGCTTTCCTGATAGANAAACTTAGCTGACCATCCTGCAGTTGCAGTACCAAGATTCCTCACTAGATGGAACCCTTGTTCCCTGCATCCGACAAATACTATTAAGTACTGGCTTTCCTGATAGAATATTAGGTTTTCTTACCATCCTTCCACTTTTTATTATGCAATCCATGAATATATATATGGAAATCATGAAATTATTACATATATTTTTATAATATATGACTCAGGGAATCATTAAATGCTGAAGTTAAGCTTTTTATTACAGCAGTGCACCGGATTAGAGAAGAGTAGAATCCCAGCTATAAGTACTAAAGCTTCTCTACTCTGAAAGGGAGAGAGCTCCTTGAACATCTTCTTCTTCTCCCGAGGATTCCAGTACTGGAGGAGGAAGTGATAGGTCATTTCGGTACTCTTGAGTGCTGGTGAGGATGAGTGTACTCATTCAACCACCCTTGAGTTCTGAAGTATGGAAAGGAATGGGAGATGCAGTATATCAATTATTTTCAAAGGTGCCGATTGACTCGTGAAAGGCACATGAATCCTAGGGGGAAATTAACATAAATCTTACGTAAAATCAACGTAAAAATACTGTTAGGAATGCAAACGGGCATGTAAATTTTACGTAAAATTGACGTTAATTTTATATCACCGCTTACGTATCACAGAGGTGACATTTATGCAAGCATGTTGGCATTATCTTGACAATGGTTTGCGTAAAAATGATATAAAATGGGCAAAAAATTTACATTCAGTTTACGTAAAATTAACATAAACATGCTGTTTGGGATGGCATCCTCCAACTTTGTCTTGAGTCTTTCAAAGGTACACCTTTTCTTTCGGGTAGACCCAAACGAAAATAATCGGCAGGTATCAGGTCAGGAATACATGTAGGTCGTTCTATTGGCTCTCTCTAAGTTCTGCGAATATGGATGGCTATGCAAAAATTTGAGGCATTCTTGTTTTCAACTTTCTGGAGCACTCCGCCAGTAATTCTTTAAGAGGTGTGTTGTATCACCTCCTTTGAGAACTTTTTGGAAACTTTGGCCACTTTCATCAATCCCGGTACCGAGAACTTCGCAGTATCATTCTATTGAAACAAGTGATTTTGAGGTTGAAGGTGCTTCGAGGGGATAAGCTCTACCAAATTTTGGGAATGACGCAAGGTGGGGGGGGGGGGGGGTGTTCGACAGTTTCGTTTCCAGGAGGATTCTCCCTTGTTGCTGACAACTTCGTTATGATCGTCTTTGTTTGCCCCCGAATCAATCTCTCAAGCTCCGTCCATGCTTTTTATGGAGAAGCTATCCATGTTCAATTTCGATACCTCTGACGAGGATATATCTGTTCCAGGCTGGATCCATGTCATCATCGACTTGCAAAATAATGTAAGAACAAAAAACGGTCGCATCTTCCATTTTCCAGGGGTTTCCATTTTGAATCCGCGGCAGGAAGGCAGCCATGTCGATGCGGAACGGCCAACGAGGTGAACTCAGCGAAGCAGCCGCTGAGCAGAACGACATCCCGCTCCATTAATATTGTCGCCCCAGCTACTCCAGTCCAGGGCAGGAAAAAGCATTGGTCCGTCAGCCTTTCCATTCGATCAGTACAGCACAGACGTTTGATATTTTTTGTGGAATGGGGAGATAGAAATAATAGGCTGATGAATGGCAATAGAATACGTGTGCACTTCTTAGCTGCATTCGTGGGAACAAGACAAGGAGTTTCTGAACATAAATCGATGATAAAGCGAAATAATAATAAAGCAAAAGGATCGAAACATGGGAGTTGTTCACAGGATGACACAGGGGTCTTTCTTGCGGTGATTGCGGTGACCACCGTCTCCTTGCCGATTGGGATCGGGTCGGCGTTGGACTGGATCAATTCCGGGAGACTTATGCTGAGGGGGGTAAAAGAAATTACTTATCTTTAATAATCTAGTTTTAAAAAATGTTGGAAACGGAACAAAAACCCTTATAAAGCCATCTCTGCTTTAAAAAACGCACTTGCTCTAAAACAAAAGAATTGATGGAGGAGATTGGAGAAGGCGACAGAGGAGGAAGGGGGATTAAACATGGTGCAAAAAATGGGACCTGGGAAAAGAACTGCTTACAGTTTCACTAGGATGGACCTCATCCCTCTTCTTCTTCCTCTTGATGCTATTCCTGAAAGCCTTCACTAATCCTCTTTTGGACTCTGGTGTCTGGGGATGAATGCAATAATTCAGTAATGCCAAGATGCCAGAGTAATTGGAAAGGAAAACGGTACATATTTCTAGTATTTAACCTTGGGCCCCTGGTGGTCCGGGTCTTGGACTATCCTGTAACTGGTGGGGTGCACAGAACCCCCCTTGTCGTCTGTATCGAGGTGGGACTTGAAAGTGGACTGAACAGGTTTTGAACCCCTGTTCCCCGGCGTCGAGTGGTACTACAAAATGAATAATAAATGTCATTATTATTCTGGACATCCTAAACAAGAAAAATTCCATCAAATTCGTACCCCCTGTCGTCTTAAACCGGCTTTATTCTTCAGCCCTTTCCTGCCAACTGATCCGAACCAGGTTTTCTTCACATTTTCGTTCTGGGGAATGAACAAAAACTTCAAGGTTTCGACTTTCTATAACTTCGTTTTCTTGAATAATATAAACTATTTTTTACCTTGCACTTGCCAGCAGGTAGATTTCCTTCTTGGGGCTATCCGGAAAAACGGTACGGCATGTTTCAACACTATCGTGTAACGCATTGTCGTTCAGAACGTGTGATGGACGATGGAAAAAAAATGAAGACTGGAAAATTAATTTAAATCAGAAATCACGTGAATCCAGCAAGGCCATAGCATAGAGATCTTCCCTTGAAAGTATCTGAGAGAGTAACTTTCCAATGAGGAACATAAATGCAGTGATCGACTTTTTAACCCTTCGGCCTGAGATGTAGACGTACCTGCTGGCTACCGTCCTCGGGGAAGGATGGTCCCGGTTCCACTTCATTAACTCCATCCTGGAACATCAGCGAACCTGCGCCTTTACGGGGATGGTCTAGACGAGGAAACTTGGAGAATTCGTTGGAACTCACTGGACATTGGACGTTGGGTTCATGCGTTCCACACATGATTTCGGCTAGTTTCTTTGCTTCTTCTAGGACCTGGAGTTTTTCTCTGAAGCCGGGCCTTCTCTCTTGGAGTTCTGCGTCGATGAGGAGTTGGATATAGTCCATCACTGTCATGGCCGAGGATTTCATGCTGCGTTCGCTGAGTCGAAGCAATGAATCGTTTAAATCCTTCAGAATTCCCATTAATTTATCCCGAACCTCGCCGAGCTTTCCTGATACTTTCAGATTCTGGACATTTGACCTAGAATGGTTCGAGGGGACTTCCGTCTCCTGCTTCTTTAGGTTTACGAACTTCTCGAAATCTGAAAAAAAAACACGCATATAGAACATCAAGTTTCCAGAGAGGGAAACCTCTTATGACTTTGGGTAATGATTGAGGCCCTGACTAGTTTCAAGTTGACGCTTGAGTTCAGCGATTTTATCTTCCAGAGCATCTTGTTCCGCCATGACCTCACTGGTCAATGCCAGGCTGACTGGTTTGATCGTAGACAGACTGGTGCATAATTTCCCGAATCCCCGCACTCCCATGTCCCAATAAAGTTTGGCGAAGCCCGTGTTCTCTTCGGGCTTATTGGCACAATAAATGGCGGAATTGTTCACCTGGAAGTAGTCCCGATGTGGGATGTTCTCCGCCTTGATGGCCTCCAAAGCCGGCGGGTCACTGCAGTCCGCGAAGGTGAAGATGACATAGAAGTTGTCGGTGACGTCTTTCCCGAACATCTTCAGGCAGGAATGATAGACGTATTTTTCAGCTGGGGTCAACCTCGACTGCGCTGCCGGGACGACGATCCCAACCCCACATAACTCTTTCATACCGTTGACCTTGAAAAAGGCCCGAATCTGCTTGGGGATGAAGGCATCCGTGTCCATGCCTCCCGTATCCGCAAAACCAGGTGTGTCCACGATGGTCATGATCCCGTATTCCGGACTCTTGATCGTGTATCCAGTGACCCATTTGGTTTGACTTGCATGACTCTCTTCCCCACTCACGGCGGATGTCATGTCGATCTCGTATCGTCTATCATGGTCCCATTCCACGCCCATGAGGAAATTCACCAATCCGTTCGCCATCGTGCTCTTCCCTGGTTCGGATACATGCAGGATGTAATGTCCCACCCAATCATAAATTTTCTTTTTTTATTTCTGCGTTTGAACTGACCTGATCCACTGGCTCCGACAAGGATCAAGACCCGGCCGAAGCCATCTTGAGGTTCACAGGAGTCGTTTAAAATATATCGCGCTAATTTATGCCGGTCATCTCGAGAAACTTCACTCAAGGAGACGAGTCTGTTTTTCCTAGCCTTCGTCCCCATTCTCCTCTTGGAAAGAGTTGGAAATGTAGCACAAAATACTTTCTGGAAAGAAAACCTTAAAACTAGTGACGTAAACGCATTCTAGATTCTGATGTTCCCTTTTATTCTTCATTCCCAGGATGGGTAAGGGACTGAAAACATTTAAACTAGCAATGGGTGTAAGAACTTACTGGACGAGAAAACGATGCAGATGGGATAAAAACTCTGGGAGGATTTACGACTGAACAATGCTCCATGAGCATTGCACTATCTTACGGTCTGACTTTTTCCTTATCTTATCTGGAACCACGCCGCTCTCTAACAACTTCTATTGGACTAGGAGATAAACCTGGACATCCATGTCATGCAAACCTGTATCTGATCGTACCCGAGCATGGTTGTACACTGGATCAGTGTGGAAAATGTGACCAGGGCGGTCAAACACTGAACAAGGGATAATGAATGATCTTGCGTGAAACAATCCACTTTATTGATAAAATCAAGCATATATATTTGCGTTTCACAGAAGAAATAATATATCGTCAAAGGTTAATAAAGTTGAATTTGATATTTTCCCACACAATCACAAGCTTGTCGAAGGAGAAGTTTCATGTGTTGCATGCCTCTTATTGTTGCGGCTCTTCGAATGACTCTCATCTCGTTTCTGAAAGTATAGGCGATTCATGTAATCCATTACTGGCCTTCAGTATACGGATCATGGGTGACATTCGTATTTTGAGATAAAGTATATGCTCACGTCTTGCTTTTTCGACTGCTTTTCCGGCTTCTTTTTCGGCGTGGCATTCTGGGGTTGACCTTGTTTGCCCACCAGTGACTCTTTTCTCATTCCTCTCCTTAGAGTCACATCAGTCGTTTTCTGTAATAATAGAGGATCGCTTGGACTGAATGATTCGCCCAGTGCTTGCGCAGCAAGTCACTCATCCACTTACATCTTCATGCTGCGAGTCGACAGGAGCATCATCAGTGCCAGCGTCAATTGGGACTTGAATGTTGGTGGTCAACATTTTCTCTCCTGTAGGTACTGTCGCATCCGAACCGGTCACAGCATTTGAGTTGGGATCTTCACTGGAAAGGTCCTCTTCCTGAAACAAAGGGGTCCAATAAGTCACACATCCTCGGCAGCGACACTTTTGCCTTCCTACACCACTTGCCTTTCGTCAAAGTGTCTGTTAATTTGGACGTTGAATAGGCCTTCCGGCTTTATAAAATGCAGAGTAAAGTCTTCAGAACTTTCGCAAAAAGGAACCCTGCTGCTGAGAAACCTCCGGGTCAAAATAAATATCCTACAAGGATAATTAAACAACAAGAAAGGTTCATTTCACCTTTTGCTGTGCACTTACTCATTTTTTCCTAATTACAAAAGTTATTATTCAAGTTATTATTCAAGAATTCAAAATTTTTTATCAGCGATTCTCGTTTCGCAGGAAAAGGGTTGCGCATGGAATTCTTCCAGGATGAGGCAACAGGATGAGTCTTACATATTTCGTCACACTTACGAAGCTCTTCTATTGAAAGGCATATCACACACGATAAATATTCGCTATCTATTTCCCTCATCTGTAATATACTTTTTCACGGTAATTTCACTAATCCTACTTCATTCGAATTATTGGGTTGGAAAGAAAGTCTTGCAACACTCTGCACAAATTTTTCAAAATTTTATAACTTTATTGAAATGCAATTTCAGTCTTCAATGTAATGACCATTGTTGTCTATGA